TTGACTATTCTTGTTAATATCAAAGGGATTCAGCTAGATTTGCTTAATAACTAAGACCGCGAAGGCACGAAATGCTAAATTGTAAAACGCTTATTGTGTATGCTATAGAATTAAATAAACAGTTCAGTAAGCGTAGGAATTGATAGAGACATTCCGCGGCTAACTCTACAAAGTTATAAAATCAAAAATTCATAACAGCCTCACAAAATATATTGGGCGGCCTGTGAGGCCCACTAGTTACAGGTCAACTATTATTTAACCTTAGAAAGTATGTTTTCGCATTTTATTATTAAATAATTATAAATTACTAATTATTAGAAATTATGAATAAAATGATATTCCTTCCCGTTCCAGACGTTGTCATAAGTTATATTACAATATGGGTTGAATCATTATTTAGACGCTATTGATTTTCAGGTTGTATACCACGATAGGGCTCCGAAAAAGTATAATTATGTCCTAACATTCAACAGGACAAATATTGTTGACCCGTCTTTTTAGGTGTAGATGGGATGTATTGCATAAATTGTATTTACCACGGAGACAAAGATAGCAAAACATAACAAACCGCAAATCGTAAAATCTATATTAGCACACAGGAAGGCATTGAGACGGAGAATATTCCGGAGCTTTACCTGCATTATCCATATATCAGAATCTACTTTTTCTCCGCTTAGAAACTGTTTTTTTTCCATCTGGCTTTTTCCTTTCTGTGAGCTTATGTTTGAAAAACCAATTTATCCCAAAAACTTATTAGTTCACCACATTAATCACACATTAGAGGAATAAGGAAAACATCCATTCAGAATTTTTAGTATCTACCATGGTTATTGCCGCCTATATTCGAAATTAGATATTTTTTTCAAAAAGGGAAAAAATACAACATGAACCATCCTGTTCTACGTAGAATCTAAAAATGTTACTCTAGTCTGGGCTCAAACCGGAAGTGCACTTCACAGCTCGAAAAATTCTGCAACTGTTTAAAAGTGCCACTTTCATGTGTCATCCGATATTGGTATTATCTAGTAACGATATTCACTGATTTTAGCGCTTTCCTTTTCCCATATTCAAGTATTTTTAGTTAGGTTTCTAAGTTGTTTCACTCCTTCTCACTTGGTTACAGTTCGAAACATGAAAAACGAAAAAAAAAAATAGAACGAACTGATCTAAGTATGCTTTTTATTTATTAATAAGAAATCAATAAATAGACGAAAAGCAAAAATATCACAATTTTAATTAACGTAGTAATTATTTAACTGAAGGAATAAAAACTAAACAATAATGCAAGGAAGAGAATGGATAGAAATAGTAATAGAATTTGACCAATCCATTAAATTGACAGAATTTAATCAAATAATTTTATAATACGTTTCAGGTATCAGAATATACGTTTTGCGCGAATTTACGCGTCAAATTTGGTCACTTGTTAATGGGGATTTCATTTATATTATTTTTATCGATTTATTATATTTATCGATTTCACATCAAATTAACCATATCCAACTTTACAATTTTACATTTTTCTAAACATTCTTTTTTATTTCAAGATTTCAAATCTTAATATAGTAATTTAATAAATAATAATAAATAAAATTAATAAAACGTGGCAGTGAAAATCGCATATGTGTATGTACGAAAAGCCTACGACAGTTGTTAGATTATATATTCCTAAAGATGAGTAACGCCTATCCAAATTCACCGTCACTCATTTTTCAGAGTAAAGGTAACCATAAATTTAAAACAAAATCGCCCCCGTCTCGTTACACCTTTTCCTTATTTCGCGTCTTCATCATTGTATCTTGCTTTTACTCTAAAATGGACAGCAACGGATTTTTACTTTGACGTTATAATAAATATGTCTCATTAAATACTACAACCGCTCAAAAACTCGAAAATTTCCTACAATGTATATTTTACCCTTCCTAAAACTGAAGCGTTCTCGTTTTGAGCACCTTAAAACTTAATTTTCTAATTTTTTTTTTGCAATTACAATGTAGATCATGTTTTAATATAATATTTTGTTCTTAATTTGTTTTTTTTAAGAAGGTGTTTAGCTTAGTTTTCTAAAATAGAACAATGACCGCCATATAAAAGCACCCCAGATTTGCTTTTCAAAAACTTATAGTTTTGTATTGAATTTTAAGTAATATTGTAAATTTTTAATAAAACTTACCTATGTACACCGTGTGCCAAATAAAACGATTCACTATACGATCTGGAAACCCATAGGAGATACGAAAAAAAGTTTCGCACAAAAGTTTCTTGGACTTTACTGAAGATTTAAAATATTATAATTTAGTTGATACAGAGTGTCCCAAAAGTGATTCCTTGACATCATTTTTGTTATTTCAAATGGTAATGGTAAAATAGAGGTCACTTTCTTAGTAAATTCCTATTCGAATTTTGCATAACTTAGGCAGAAATTGAAGTTATGTGTTTTTTTTTTTTCATATTCTGATTGCCCCATATAAAATTGTGTTATGACGCTACTCATCCAGGTATTGCAACGAAAATGTAACCACAGACTAAGAAGATAATGCACTACTTAATCAGTTTGACAAATGCGCCTCTGCTTATACAGGGTGTCCCAAATAGGTGGTGCCGTTTCGGCAAATTCAGTTAACGAAATCTCAAGATTTTCAAATGGAGCACCCTATATTTTTATTCAGATATCAATTCCAGGACAAAAAATAAGGGAAATTTGTAATTTATCTTATATTAAAATATTATTTATTTTTTTGAGATATTCGAGGTTTAACATAACATAAATTCTTGTTGAATTTAAAGCTGTTCACATTAGGTCACTTGTTGGCAATATTAGGCATTTTTTAAATAGCGAATACATGATATAATAATAATAATAAAGATATAATACAAATTTAATAAAACTTCAGAATTCATATTTAAAGAAACATTTAATAGTTAATAGCTAATTATATAGCTTAAACAAATTTGAAAAAAAGTTAATTAAAAGGGTTCGTTAATTCGGTCCATAAAGTTTAGTGAAAAATGTTCCTGTTAAAATGGTAGTTCCATCTGGCATCAAAACAACATAGAAATATCAAAACATTTAAAAATGTCGTTAGCTATGACATCACAATCTCGAAATATATATGGTGTTTCATTTAAAATAATTTAAATAATAAAATAAAGTTGATGTCGGGGGCACACTTTTGGGACACTCTGTTTCAACAAAATTATAATATTTTAAGTCTTCAGGAGAGTCCAAAAAACTTTTGTACGAAAGTTTTCTTCGTATCTTCTATGATAGTATGGTGGATCGTCCTATTTGGCACACGGTGTACTTTCATGACTATTGCTCTTGCAATCCTTGTAAGGGGTGTTTTTTTCGATGTATAGAACTTTAAGTTGCAATAAAACAACGATGGATTATTCGATTGACATGAATTTTATTTATCCGAAAGATAATCTTAAATTTTAAATATGATTTCTGGCATATGACCGCCACGGCTGGAGCGGATGTAGTCCAATCTAGACGTCCAATTTTCGATTACTTTTTCCAACATTTGTGGCCGTATATCGGCAATAACACGGCGAATGTTGTCTTCCAAATGGTCAAGCGTTTGTGGCTTATCCGCATAGACCAATGACTTTACATAGCCCCACAGAAAGTAGTCTAGCGGTGTTAAATCACTAGATCTTGGAGGCCAATTCACAGGTCCAAAACGTGAAATTAGGCGGTCACCAAAGGTGTCTTTCAATAAATCGATTGTGGCACGAGCTATATGACATGTTGCGCCGTCTTGTTGAAACCACATCTCCTGGACATCATGGCTATTCAATTCATCCAAGAGTTAGTAGTTATAGCTCTATACCGATCACCATTGACTGTAATGTTCTGGCCATCATCGTTTTTGAAGAAGTACGGACCAGTGATTCCACCAGCCCATAAAGCGCACCAAACAGTCAGTTTTTCTGGATGTAACGGTGTTTCGACATACACATACATCGCTAAACAAAATTCGCTTATGAAAATCGGGAACAACGGCAATCTCGTTTTGGGCCCATTCGACGAATCTACGCCTTATTTGATGATCGTTTGGCTTCAATTCTTGCACGAGTTGGATTTTGTAGACGCGTAAACCAAGATCCTTCCATAAAGTGGATGGACACAGATCCAATTCCTGTGCTGGATGGCGGATGGACTCATTCGAGTCTTCCCCAATGCTACGCTCTACAGCAGCAATAGCTTCTTCTGTACGCACCGTACGGCATCTCTGGGGATGCGAGTTATCAATAAGAGTAAACGTGGTGCGAAAACGTTCCATGGTTAATCGAATTAACTGCTCTGATGGACGATTTTGTCGACGATAAAATGGACGTAGTGCGTGATACCTATTCCGCACAGACCCATCATTTTCGAAATAAAATTGCACTATTTGCAAGCGTTGTTCAGGCGTTAGTCTATTTATAATGAATTGCAAAACCAAACTGAGAATAAATCACTTGACAGCTATTAAATCGGTCGCCATCCTGAACAGTAATGCCAACTTAAAGTTCTATACATCGAAAAGAAAACACCCATTATAAGTAATCAGAAAGGTATTTATAAAAATCTTCGTAACCGCTATAAAACTAAAAGTTACCAGAAACCCAGTTGGAAACTATAAATGCGCAAATGTCAGATGTCAGTGATGCAATAATCATAATCACACTTTTCAATGGTTGTTTATTTATTTGTTCCAGAAAGAATTATTAGATGGGCGATTACCGTTACAAATGAGATGGGTAAATGTAGCGGAAGTTTTCCTGCTCGCCTTCTGCGCATCATTCTGGGTATATATAATCATCCAAGACATTTATATTGCATGAGCGTCTCAAGTAAAGTAAGCGAATCAAATCAAGTTTACGTCAAAAATATGGCGGTACGCTCGCCGTTGCAACAATTCCGGACGTAAATTATTTGTCTTGCAAAATAGCATCCGTAAACTAGAGAGGTTCAAAAAGGACGCTCGTAATTTATGAAAACGTCTACTCACTTTGTTCGCGCTCTCGTTATGATGGAGCATTTTCCCGCTATTGAATGAAGTAATAGCTGCTGAGACGCTAGTTTTATAACTTCCAGGAGAAGTTTGAAGGTCGCCGCTGCTTCCCGTCGCGTATCCGGAGTTTGTGTCGACGTTCGCGCCGGGAGTGGACGAAGATGGCGTCATTTTTACGGGACGCGGCCCAAACGGCGTCGAAGAATTATGAGGCGTTGTTCCGGAGTGGACCGATGCAGCGAGTCCTGAAAATTATCTAGCTGAGTCAAAAAACGTAAGATAAGATGTCTGCAAAAAAACTTTTTAAGATCGTAATTTTTTTTTTAAGACAGACCGGGTGTCAATGAAAGTACTAGCTAAGCTTTAAATCTGTCAAAAAAAAATAATAAATCTGAAATTTAGAAATGTTATATAAACAAAATATGACTACATTTTGACATATAAAAAATTGAATAACAATTCCGGTTTTACCTCAAGTGGGATCAACTATCTTAATTTAAATGAAACTCCCTGTATATTTTAATTTATGTATTCTAGCTCTAATAGTTTTAGTTAGTTAATGGGGGGTTCAAAAATTTTAATGTCATTTTTTCTGAGTCAATTTAAATAAAAACATATTTCAACTAAAAAAATGACATGTGCAGTGTTGTGAACTCGGCAATTCCACGAGCACCGTTTCATTAATCGTTCTGTCAGCACGACCAAATAAATAGTGGGACCCTTGTTTCGAGAACCGATGAAAAGGGTACTACAGAGAAACGGGACGATGGCCAGAGAGATGTGATGTGCAAGTTTCCCGAGAGTACTGATCGATCGATATTCGATACCGATTGTCGTGTTCATGATATTTTACTTTTATAAATAAATAAGGAGTTAGTTCCATTTTTCTATTTGTCCGGACCCTAAATAAATTCTATACATCAGAAGTGGGATTAGTAAATCCAGTGTTTGCCGATTTTAGTGTTTTCGCCATGTATCCATGACGACTATATTTACGATGCCATCGAAAAGTTGCCGAAACTCGTAGCCGCAGTTTTTCACGCGAAAGAGAAAGTGAAATGCGAATCCGGAGGGAATATCCGGAATGCTCCAGAAGACACCATCCAGCGGACAATACAATCGAACTTGTTCGATCATTTACGGCGGAACCTGAACCTGAGAGGAGCTCAATTCCTCCTCTTTCTATAAGGTTGCCTAGTAAGCAGGAAAGTAGTCAGTCAATGTATTGTTTGACGCAGACCTTGCCTGAGGGCATTGATAATTGTTAAAAAAAAATCATGTTACTTTAGGAAGCATCAATAACAACAGTAAGTGAATTTAGTCCTCGTATTTATATTGTGGAATGACCTAACGCTGTGGAGGTTTTTTCTGTTATACTAAACTACCTCCAAATAAACAAACATGTCGGCAAACCAAGCCGCCATGTACCATGAACCACAAAATTTACTCAGCGCTCACGTTTCAAGAAAAAAAAATTAGTTTGTATATGTAAATTATGTTATAAATCAAGTCATAAATCTTTCTATATTTCAGAATAGAGGGCCAACCTCTACGGTTCAAAACTATTAAGAATATTGTCCTTTACAAATATTTTATGTGTGGACAAATAAGTCATGTTAAAAGTTAATGCCCAAACATATAAATTTTATCGTATTTCAATAATTTATAGCCCTCCAGCAAAACATTTATAAACTCATTGAAGAAATATATAAAAGGCATTACTCACTACCTGATTGCTGTAGGTCTGTAGGACGAAATAGTCAATTGGAAAGGTACACTCGTACTATCTTAGACTCCCTTTCCACCATGACTGCGGATTGAGAAAACGATAGGGGGGATGATAATGTACACAACATTCAATTCGGGTTAAATGGCACCATAAATAGAGCATTAGGGACATCACCAAGTGACCATTAACCACTAACCGTAGATTTTGATCAATCTACAGTTCTGACAGTTTTATCATTTTTCTCCCGCACCAAACGTTTTGATGGTTAGATACCTAACTTTCTTTGCAGTTGCGGCACCTCGAACCATTTATTCACAAACCGATGAAAACTGTAGACATGAGCTTGTCAAATCTTATATTTTCCTTTTTAGTAAGATGGCGTGTTTGTTCGAACGTCAACTTAGCATCCAGGCCAACTGAGTTTTTATCATTGTATTGTATCTTTACAAAATTTACAAGAATTTTTGCGTATTTCAAAATCATTTGGAAGAAATAAAGTAAAAATAAAATTCATAGAACTTTTTTAGAAGAAATTTTTAATCTTGAGACTTTAAAATAAGGCACAACAAAAATATATTTTTTTTCATTTCAGTTTTCGGTTCGATGTTTCCAAGAAACTAATAATATTAATTTTATATTTTGAAAAGCTTTTTAATAATTTTATTTAAATTTCTAAATAAACGAATCTAAACAATGTTTCTTTATATTGCCCCTATGCAGAAGAAGGAATTGCTCAAATCACATGACTATTGAAAATATTGGTATTTTATTATATGTACTCATTGCTGAAAAGTTATTAACAACTCTATTGTTATGCGAGAAGTGTGGTTTACGGCATTGGACTTAAAATGTTTACCAAACGTATTGCATAATATACTTTTTCTACTACCGTTAGTTCTAGAGTACATTTTTGCTTTATGCGGTGTGTTTGACCATTATGTCTCTGATCACAGATCAGTTTTCATGGATCTTGAAGTATTTCGAAATGACGTCATCAAGTCGAATAAACATCCTGAATTGCTAGAAACTTCAGTGATTCCGGTGACCAATCGGTTCGTCTGGAGGATTGGTTTCATGTTTATTCCGAGACCGTCCTGGATAGTGCTTTTAATAATTTTTATTGTTTTTTTTTACTATTTTACTTTACATTTTCCGGAAAAAAGATTGTACATTAGTGCGTCATAAAAAAAAATGGATTAATAATGAAATTAAGGCATCTGGTGCTGTTTGCAGGGTGATTTCGGAGTTGTCTAATGATTGTCGATTCAGTGTTGAGAATTTTAATTTAATTAATAAGCAGAATAATAAACTCTAAAATAACCCTAATATTTAGGTATTTAATAACTATATTATAAATGCTCTCAAAACTATTGGTCTGAGTGTTGTTAGGGATGTGAATGATGGAGAACTTTCGTCGGGTAACAATCTCAAATAGTTTTGCTAAAGTGGTATGCTTTCTTAGACAGATTAATGTATTTTGGAAATAAATGTCATGTTTTTATAGATAAATAAAAAATAGAAGCACTAAAACTGCTGCTGATTCGTATTTTCGTAGATTTAATATCTTTTATCGAGGATGGTGTATGTCCCGTTGGAATTTTTTGCGAGCCAAGTTGTGCGTTTGACGGTTTTAATTTTACTCAACTCGGGGAAGCTCTGCACGCTTCGGGTATAAGGGGTAAGCCTCTCTTCTGGGTCAGTAGTTTTTAGAAAATCGTTCTCAGTTTGTATCCCTTAAGTTTTATAAAGGTAAGAGAATGGAAAGTGAAAATTCTACTTTACTCTACTCTTCATGTTATATATTAATCGAATATTGAAAATTTTACCTGGTGTTGTCGTATGTCAATCACGATGCCTTCTCAGAGAAATGCTCTAAGGTATTCGATAGATTGGTGGCATGATTTGGAAAAATTAATCTGTATTTCAAGGCAAGCAAAACCCAAACTATAACATTACATAACTATCAGAAAGAACGTGATAAGTTTAATGTCTGCTTAGCCAATGATACTATCGCAAGTGGGGATACCGTGAGTTTTCCAGGATCGAGCTTGGATGAATTAAACTGGAAATCTGTGATACTATTATTTCAACTCTAAATATGTAAACTATACTTTTATAAATCTTAGTGAGATTTTAACTAGGCAACAGTTGCTCAATTTATATTATGCGAAGGTGGAATCCCGATTACGTTATGGGATTAGTTTGTGGGGAGCATCTGTAAATGCTGATAAAGTTTTTTTGGCTCAGAAATGTATATTGCACAGATTTCCAAGTTTACATCTCGTACGGCTTTATTTGCCCAGTACAGAATTCGTACACTGAAGAATCTTTTTATTTTTGAAATGTCATGGTATGTCTTTAAAAATTTTTCAAATTTTAATTTAGTCGGTGATGTACATTCTAAGCATACAAGAGAAAGCGGTGGTATAAGCGTGTTATACCACTTGGAGGTCACCTGATTATTTGGGGGTTCGTATTTTTAATCTGCTCTGCTATTAAAAAGAGAAAAGTTTAAAACCTTGTCTATTTAGATGAATTTGATTGGGTATTTTTTTTATATGCCCATTGTACCTATTATATATTTTAACTATTCCTAAAGAATTTTGTAGTTTTCTTTGCGAAAATAAATATTATTATTATTATAGCTCCCAAACCCGTACGCTGATTTCCCAGAAATGTCCGAAGTATCTCGGATTCGTGGGAAACTTGCCAAAACTATCAATAAAGTATTTCAGTAATAAGGTGCTTGGTGAACCTTCGTGACATTAACCTGTGATGGGAATGGCCTAGAAGATCTAATCGAATGTGAAAAAAGGAAAACTAGAATGAATAATAAGGTTTTAGACAAGGAACAGACCGCAGAAGGACGAGTATACACCTTAATTCCTTTAATTATTTGTAATTACTTAGAATTTCTTGGAATTCCTTACAATTATTTTGACAATACCTTAATGCCTGTACACCAGTATTCGTCTGCGACATACCCTTCGATTTTAGAACATCTTCAAACGGAAAAATTTCAACAATTAGAAACTCTACTGTGTACCGTTTAAATTGCAACACCGGTATAAATGTTAATTTTTTAGGCTTAGTTAGCTTCAAAAGCTCCTTCCAAAGAAAGCATCGTAAGGACCATGATTCTTTCTGCATGTTACTGTGAACTTGCTCCCACCCGATACATATGTAAATCATAATTATTATTTGTTTTAGTTTAGGAGTGCTTTCCGGCTTTTTGAGTCTATTCTGGAACGGATTAGTAAATTCGGCTTGTATGGTCTGAAATTACTAGAAAACATTTCATAGAGAGAGAGAGAGAAAGTGGGAGATGAAAATGCTCTGCCGCGTTCTAAAGTTTTGATGGTTATGCGTAGCGAAATATTCATTAACATGTTTACGGGGTAAATCCTGTTCCAAGCTATAACGAATTTATAATGCGAGCGAAATAATCCCCTGCACAGCATTATTTTGTCCTTCGTCGGGAAACCACACCATTCTCACAATGATAAGTACAAATCC